ATCGTTTTGCGATCGCAATTGCAATCACAAAAACATTGTCATGAAGCAGATTCGTTGTAATGCAGGGTAATAATTAAGCGGGGCACGACTGTACATACATATATACATACATACGTACATACATACGTACGTACGTAATGATTTGTGATGATAATGTCACAAAGTTGATTTCCAGTTACAGTGACCATTTTCAGGGTTTTCTAGGTAGACAAGACACAGAAGTGGATGACCATTCCCTTCTTATGGGGGCATCCTGGGACGTTGCAGCTTGCCCAACACACTAATTTCAGGAGGCAAAGTGGAGAATTGAACTCCCAACCTGTAGCTCCACAGCCAGATACCTAAACCACTGAGCTGTCCAGCCCACTACATACATACATACATACATATATGTGCAATAATTAGTAACAATAATTATGCATCATCAAGTTGATTTCCACTTATGGTGACTGTTTTTCAGAGTTTCCCAGGTAGAGAATACTGAGAATAGGTTTTCCCTTCTTCTGGGGGCACCCTGGGACTGTGCAGCTGGCCCAAGGCCACCCAAGCTGGTTCTACCCCCAGGAGGGCACAGTGGAGAAGCAAAATGAACGGGATGCCAAAATTTACACGGGCGGCTTGCCATGGTGTTTGGCTATTCCACGTTGAGTGTGAGTGTGTATTTTTTCTTCAATGGGGGGGAGGGGGCAGCTGGCTTGAGATGCATTAATCCTGACCTGATTTTTCTTCAGTTTGTCCTCTCTCATGTCCCAAATTTCCTCCTTTTCTTCTTTCGGTCCCTGCGCAACCTCAGCCTAAAATAGCCATTGTGCTATTTCAATTCTTCCCTTACACGCGATGTTATAGGGACCTCATCAGAGCTGCTTTTCCTCTCCTTTTCTAGATTCAACTGGAAGGGCATTGATTTATTTATTTTATCTTTCCTTTTTCTGTTATCTCTGTGGCTTCCTCCCTTTGATTTCTCTGCTCTTTCTCTTCACTATTTTAGAATTTCGGTGTCCTTCTGTTCCCAATTTTAACTGGGAACCGTTCGAAATAATAAA